AAGTCTGAAGCCCAACAACATTGGAAGTGCTTAAATTGGACAAAGCCACTACTCATTAAGGGCCAACAGACCGCTATTTCCTTAAGATTGCAGTACTGAAGCCCAGGTATTACCTAAAGCCCACAAGCACTGCTATTTTCTAAAGCCCTACAAGACAGCTATGCCCTAAGAACCAACACTGCATTGATTCCCAAAACCCCCATAGGGCTGCTATTGCCTACAACCCTACTGAAGAGTTATTTCCTAAAGAAAATCCTACAGTACTACTATTCCACTAGGCCTAACAGCCCAATGCTCCCTAAAGCCAAACACTACAACTATTTCCTAAAGCCAAACAGTGATGCTGTTCACTAAGGCCAAATGGAGCCACTATTCCTGTAGGCCTAACAACACTGCTATTCTCTAAAGCACTAAAGTCTCACTATTTCATGCCATATTTCCTAAAGTCCAACATTGTAGCTGTTACTTAATGCCCAACATTGCAACTATTCCCTAAAGAACAGCAGCTTGCTAGTCCCTAAAACCCTATAATGCAGCTATTCCCTATGGCCCAGTAGCCTGCTAGCCCCTAAAAACAGTCTGATATCTTCTAAAGTCCAACAGTGCTGCAATGCATTAAGCCCAACAGGGCCACTGTTCTTGTAAGATCAACAGAAACTATATTCCCTAAAGCCCTACAATCCTCTTCAGACAATATTCCCTAAAGCCCAACATTGCAGCTATTTCCTAAAGTCCAATATTGTAGTAACTTATTAAAGTCCAACCTGTAGCCATTCCCTAAGGCATTAAAAGACCACAATTACCTAAAGCTCAAAGGACTTGGGATTTCCTAATGCCCAACAGCATGGGACTACCTAAGCCCCAACAGTGCCACTATTCCCTAACACACAACCGCCTACTATTCCCTTAAGCCTGCATCATAGCAGTCCAGTTATTCCCTAAAGTGCACTAGCACTGCTCCTCCCAAAAGCCCTACAGAGTGGTAATCCCCTAACAACTGCAGTGGCATTCCCTATGTCCAAACAGCTCTATAGTGCTCTCATTCCATAAAGCCCTAGATATCTGATATTCCCCAGAGCCCAACATGGCAGTTATTTCCTAAAGCCCAACATTGCAGCAATTTCTAAAGCACAAAATTGTAGCTATTCACTAAAGTTCAATAATGCAGCTATTCTCTATGGTCTTATCAGACCACAATTACTGAAGTCCAACAGTCTGCTATTTCCTAAAGACTTTCAAAAGCACTGGGACTGCTTAAGGGCCAAAGGACTGGGACTGCCTAAGGTCCAACAGGCTGCTATTCCCATAAGCATGTAGCTTAGCATCCCAACTACCCAACTAGCATTCCCTAACTACCCAAACTGATATTCTCTAAAGCCCTATAGCAATGCAGTATCCTAGAGCCCTACAGGGCAGCTACTCCCTAAAGTCCAATATTATAGTCTTTCAGAAAACCTAACCATCTGCCATTCCCTAAAGTACTAAGGTTATTATTCTTTAAGGCACATTCCTGAAGATGAATAGAGCTGCTATTCCCTACGGCTCGATAGGACAGCTATTTTCTAAAGCCCTACATCACCACTATTTGAGTAGGCCTAACAGACTACTATTCCCTAAAGCCCAATATTGCAGCTGTTCACTACAGCCCAAGAGTCTACAATTTCATAAAGCCTAACTGTGCTACTATTCACTAAATACCAACAATGACACTGTTCCTGTAGGCCCTACAACACCACTATTTCCTAAAGACCTACAGGGCAACTATTCCAGGCACTATTCCTTAAAGTACAACATTGCAGCTATTCCCTAAGGCCCAAAGCACAGTATTCTCTAAGGCCTCAGCCCAGTTATTACCTTTAAATCAAGCAGTACAGCCATTCCCAAAAACCTTATAGGGAAGCTATTCCTTAAGGACCAACAATATTGCCATTCTCAAAATTATAACAGCTCTATAGTTATTCCCTAAACACTTAGAGCTCTGCTATTGCCTAGAGCCCAACATTGCAAACAATTCATGAAGGCCTAATAACCACTATTCCCTAAAGTCTAATATTCTAGCTATTCCCCAAAGTCCAACATTGTAGTAACTGACTAAAACCCAATATCACATCTACCCTAAGGAATTAACAGACCACAATTGACTAAAGTCCAACAGCCTGCAATTTTCTAATGCCCCAAAACACTGGTATCACCTAAGGGCTAACAACACTGGGGCTGCCTAAATTCCAACAGACCACTATTTACTAAAGCTCAACAGCCCACTTACTCCCTAAACCATAACAGCCCACTATTCCCTAGAGTCCACATGCACTGCTAATCCCTAAAGCCCTACAGAGTGGCTACTAATAAAGAATAACATTTCAGTTTTCCCTAAAGTCCACCAGTACTGCTGTTCACTAAAGCACTACAGGGTAGCCATTCCATCAAGCCCAATAGATCTGCTGTTTCCCAGACACCTAAAGGAGACCTATGCCCTAAAGAAAGCACTACAAAAACACTATTCCAGTAGACCTAACAGCCCACGTTTCCCTATAGCCTAACACTGAAGCTGTTCCCTAGGGCCCAACAATGAATTTATTCACTAAAGGTAATATCTGGTTAGTCCCTAAAGCCCAACATTCCAGCTATTCCCTAAAGCTCAACATTGTAGTTATTCATTTAAGCCCAACATAACAGCTATTCCCTAATGCCTTAATAGAACACAATTACCTGAATCCCATTAGCCCACTATTTCCTAAAGCCCAACAGCTCTCAGTTTACCTAAGGCCTCACGACACTCCTATTCCTCAGAGCCACAGCCTGATATTCCCTAAAGTGCACCAGCACTGGTATACCTTAAAGTTCTACAGGGCAGGTATTCCCTATGACCAACACTGCAGCTACTCCAGAAAGATCAACAGTGTGGTATTCCCTAAAGCCTAAGTTCCAACATCACTAGGCCTGCCTAAGGTTAAACAGTACTAGGACTGCCTAAGGTTAAACAGTACTAGGACTGCCTAAGACCTAACATCACTAGGAATGCCTAAGTTCCAACATCACTAGGACTGCCTAAGGCCTAACAGTACTAGGACTGCCTAAGTCCCAAGAAGTAGGACTGCCTAAGGCACAATATCGCTAGGACTGCCTAAGGTCCAAAAGTACTAGGACTGCCTTTTGTCCAACATCAGTAGGACTGCCTTTTGTCCAACATCACTAAGACTGCCTAAGGCCCAACGCACTAGGACTGCCCAAAGAATAATAGTACTAGGACTGTGTAAGGCCCAATGGCATTAGGACTGCCTAAGGCCCAGGAGCAAGAGGACTGCCTAAGGCCCAACATCACTAAAACTGCCTAAGGCCCAATAGTATTTGGACTGCGTAAGGCCAAACAGTATTAGTACTGCCTAGGATCAACCAGCCCTAGGACTGTCTAAGGCCTAACAGTACTAGAAGTGCCTAAGGCCTAACATCACTAGGACTGCTTAAGGTCCAACAGTACTAGGACTGCCAAAGGTCTAACATCATTATGAGTGCCTAAAGTCCAACATCACTAGGACTGCCTAGGGGCCAACAGCATTAGGACTGCCTAAGGCCCATCAGCACTAAGACTACCTAAGGCTCCACATCACTAGGATTGCCTAAGGCCCAACATCACTAGGACTGCCTAAGGCCCAACAGTAGTAGGACTGCGTAAGGCCTACCTCACTAGGACTGCCTAAGAGCCAACATCACTAGGACTGACTAAGACCCATCATCACTAGGACTGCCTAAGGCCCAACATCAATAGAAATGCCTAATGTCCAACAGTACCAGGACTGCCTAAGGCCCAACATCACCAGGACTGGCTAAGACCCATCATCACTAGGACTGCCTAAGGCCCAACATCAATAGAAATGCCTAATGTCCAACAGTACCAGGACTGCCTAAGGCCCAACATCACCAGGACTGCCTTAACCCAACAGCACTAGGAATGCCTGAGGCCAACATCACTAGGACTGCCTAAGAGCCAACATCTCTAGGACTGGCTAAGACTCAACATTAGTAGGACTGCCTAAGGTCCAACAACACTATGACTGTCTAAGGTCTAACAATACTAGGAATGTCTAAGGCCCAACCGCATTAGGACTGGGGAAGGGCCAACAGTACTAGGAATGTCTGAGGACTAACATCACTTGGACTGCCTAAGGTCCAACAGCATTAGGACTGTCTAAGGCCCAATAGCATTAAGATTGGCTAAGGCCCAACATCACTAGCCCTGCCTAAGGTCCAATACACTAGAACTTCCTAAAGCCCAACAAAATTATGACTACATCAGGTCCAACAGTACTGGGACTGTTTAAGGCCTAAGAGCATTAGGGGTGCCTAAAGTCTAACAGTAGTAGAACTGCTAACAGTACTGTCTAACAGTACTAGGAATATCTATGGCACAATAGTGCCACAATTCCATAAGGCCCAATAGCTGGCTTTACTCTTAATCCTGAAGTTCAACAATCCCAAAAGTCTACCATCAATCCTGTTTCCTATAAAAGCTCAGGAGAGGTATTCCTTAAGATCACCATTGCAGGTATTTCCAAAAAATCTACCAGTACTGTGATCTCAAAAGACATACAGTGCAGCTATTATGTAAAGACCTAATTTGCAGCTATTACAAAAAGATCAACAATCTGTTATTCTGTAAAGTCCTAAGGCCATTATTGCTTAAAGCCCAACAGGTCTTCTATTCCCTAAAAGAAAACAGTTACTAATATGTATTATATTGCTAGAAACCTATTCCCTAAAGCCCTGCAGGTCCAATATTCCAATTGGCCTATTAACCTGGTATTCCTTAAAGCGCAACATCACTTGCCCTGTCTAGGGCGGGACTGAGCCACTACTCCATAAGGCCCAACATTGTAACTATTTGTAAGACCTTACATTGTTGCTGTTCCTTGAAGTCCACCAATGGAGCTACTCTCTACAAACCAACAGTGCTGGTGTTAGCTGAAGCCGGATGGTGTTGAAGTTCTCGTAGGCCTAACAACATGACGGGTTCCTCAAGTCCTTCAGGGCGACTGTTTCTTGCACAGTTCCTTCAGTCCCACATTGTATCTATTCAGTATTGGCCAACAGCGCCGCCGCTACAGCTTAGGGCCCAACAGCGCCGCCGCTACAGCTTAGGGCCCAACAGCGCCGCCGCTACAGCTTAGGGCCCAACAGCGCCGCCGCTACAGCTTAGGGCCCAACAGCGCCGCCGCTACAGCTTAGGGCCCAACAGCGCCGCCGCTACAGCTTAGGGCCCAACAGCGCCGCCGCTACAGCTTAGGGCCCAACAGCGCCGCCGCTACAGCTTAGGGCCCAACAGCGCCGCCGCTACAGCTTAGGGCCCAACAGCGCCGCCGCTACAGCTTAGGGCCCAACAGCGCCGCCGCTACAGCTTAGGGCCCAACAGCGCCGCCGCTACAGCTTAGGGCCCAACAGCGCCGCTACTCCTGGTTGTAATCTCTAGGATCTAATTACCTGGTACTGTCTGTGGGCCAAGCAATCAACAGATTTAGGAATGCCCACATGTAGCAATGAGTTAACTGTACCTGACATACTAGATGAACATTAAGCGAAAAACATACTTCTAAATTCACAGTAGACCCCAAGACCCTGGCCATGCCCGGTACTTACAAAGTCAAAATGAGTAGCTGAGTAATAATGGCGGCTGCTGTAGGTCAACCTCTCCTCATAACACCGCACTGGTCCTGTCTGGTAGAGCATGCTGAGAGAAAGAAGAGGGATAGATACAGTATGTGACAAAGAAAGTGAGCTCCAGGTCTCTGGACTAGTAGAGAGACACAAGAAAAACGGGGAGTGAACCAGTTGGTGCTCACTTACAAGTCTTCGCGTCTTTTCTTCCTCTACTACACCACGCACCAGCCTGTTCACACTGCAACTACAAAAGTAGGGAGGGTTTACGCATGCGCAAGAAAGGAAACCGCTAGACTGTCCTTGTGAAGCAGCGCGAGATCAAAGTAGAGACCGCGAAATCAAAAGAGTATCCTTAATCTGAAATTTCACTATAAGGCTGTGTTCTGACTTACTTTTCATGTTCTTCTCAAGGAGTACACACTTCTTCAATATCGACTTGGAAAAATACAGTCTTTCTATTCCTTGAGACCAAAATTCATACATTCTCAGACTCCTCCCTGAAACAACAATAAGATAAATTTCTTTTCCTTCCTTCCTTCCTTCCTCCCTTCCTTCCTTCCTTCCTTTTTTTTTTTATCTGAACCTTCCACACTTATGTGAACGTTCGCTTAAGTTCACAAATAACATGTGTGAAAATAAAGGTAACAAAAAAAAAAAAAAGAAAGAAAGAAAGAAAGAAAGAAAATAAAGGTAACAACGCTGGTGTTCGTGGTGCACACCTTTACTCCCAGAACTCAGGAGGCAGAGGCAGGAGAGTCTCTGTGAGTTCAAGGCCAGACTCAGTTCCAGGATAGGCTCCAAAGCAACAGAGAAACACTGTCTCAAAAAAACCAAACCAAACCAAAACAAAAAACAAACAAACAAAAAACAAAAAACAAAAAACAAAAACACGAAACAAAACAAAACAAAACAAACAAACAAACAAACAAAAAACAGACACAGAGTCAGGTACATCTCTACGAGTTCCAGACTGGCAAGTTCCATGACATGCTCCAAAGCCATACACACAAACCAAAACAATACAGAGAAACCCTGTCTTGAAAAACAAAACAAAACAAATTAAAAGAACATAAAATAAAGGGAACATATAGCAGGTTACCTAGCAAAACTACACAACATTTTTGTTTGAAATTAAAATGTACTGTTGTGGACTGAAAGACTATCAGGGAAAGACCCCACTAGACAAACTTTAAATTTAAAGATTAAGCAACTATTTTTTTTTTTTTTTTGGTGTGTGTGTGTAACAAGGTGTGTAACAAATAGCCTCCTTTCCAATATGACAGTGTCAAGATTAACATTACATTTATGTTTACTATGAGACACCAAAAAGAAAAACTGCCTCAAATATGTATGCCTCTACTTGTACAGGCCATACCCTGACAGACCATTTCCTTTTCTTCCCATATATTAAAGACTATTCTTAAATTGATGATGGAAAACTTGCCATTCTACAAAGACAATACATTATAAGACTAACTGCTATTTTCTCATTTTGTAATTAAACTTGCATACCCTGTTCAATGACTAAAACAACTGCAAGACAATACCCTGCCTAAGTATACATAATACTGGAAATCTGGACAGGGACTAGTGATTTTACAGGCACAACACAGTCACAGTTGTCTCAATTCGGGCAGTTTTTTTTTTTTTTTTTTCTGTGTGAAGTATTATGTTTTTTGTGTGTTCATTTTTCTGAACAAGTAATGATTTAATAAAATTACAGATCCACAATGAGTGTCTGGTTAATATTTTTAGGTAACAATTATACAATAAGGGACTCTGAGATCAGTCTCCTAGATTGCTCTCAAGACTGGACTGCTGACAAGAATGACTTAGGAATGTCCTGCAGACATCCCATTGTTAACAATACTTAGGTTAAGGTCTGCTAACTTGTAAATTTCAAGTGTTTCTTCTTTTACATAGTAACTTAATTTGAAAGTCACTTTGAAATAGAGCTAATTTTTAACCATTATGTTCACCACTGGTCATTTGAATCAAATTTGACTCAAATCATTTATTTATGTTGAGGTACAGATTGATATTATGACTATAGGGTTAACATTTGAATACATACATACATACATACATACATACATACATACATATATATTATACTTATTTTAGGAAAATGAGTTGAATCTGGGTAATTTAATTTTAAGACACCTGGTATACAGTGTTTGGCATTAACACCCGTAATTATCATTAGGCTGCACAAGGCAGCAAGAGAGAGATTTTAAACAATTTGTCTTATCCATGAAATATTTGATAACCTGCCATTACACTATTCAGTTATATCTCATGTCCAATTTAAGAAACTTTAAGCCCCCACTTGTGAGCAAGTTTACATATATATATATATATATATATATATATATATATATATTTCTTATTTTTTCTTATTTTACATTTACTTCTTCCTTTACAGTTACTTCTTCCTCCCTCCCTCTCTCCCATGCCCCCTGACCCCCTCTCATACTATTCCCCCAAATTCACAAGGAGAGTGATGCCTTCCAGGAAGAATCATCAAAATCTTTAAATTCATTTGGAGTATGGTATAGGCCCTCCCTCCAGGCTTTAGGCTAAGGGAGTATCCCTCAACGGGGAATGTGTTCGCAAAGTCCTTTTGTGCACCAGGGATACATCCTGGTTCCACTGTCAGAAGTCCCTTAGACTGCTCAGTCCTTCTAAGTGAGACCCACATTCAGGGGATCTGAGTCGGACCAATGCTGCATTTCCAGCTATCAGTCTGGGGGTCCATGACTCCTCTTAGTATAGGTCAGCCATGTCTGTGTTATTCTGTAGCCTGGTCTTGACCCTTTTCTTAACTCCTCCCTCTCTGCAACTGGATTCCAGGAGTTCTGCACAGGGTTTGGCTGAGAGTGTCTACTTCTTTCCATTAGTGACTACATGAAGGTTCTAGGATCATATATAAGTTATTTATCAATCTCAATATTAGAGGACAGTTAAGAACGCCTTTCCACTTTTGCTCAAATTGTTAGTTGGAGTCATCCTTGTAGTCTCTAGACATTTCTCTAGAGTCAGTTTTTCTTCAAACCTATAATGGCTCCTACTATTATGGTATCTCCTTTTTTGTTTTTCTTTTTTTCTTGCTCTCGTCTGATGAGAGATGTCATTTTGTAAATATGTTTCTTGTAGTGGTAAATGAATAAAGCACTGTTGGCCAATAGGAAAACAAGATAGGTGGGACTAGGAGACAAGGAAGATTTGAGGAAGTAGTAGGGAGGAGTCAGCATGTAGAGAATGAGGACAGCAGAACGTCGGTGGTTCCACTCTCCGGTAAGATGAGACCCCATGGAAATATTTAGATTAATAGAAATAGGTTAATAATTAAGACAGAGCTAGAAAATAAGAAATTAGTACCTAGCCAACTGAATTATATCTAATACAGAGTCTCTGTGTGTTATTTGGGGCAGGCATAGCAGTGTGACCAGGCTGTAGGAAAACCTACTCTTAACACTATGGCGCCACAATGTGTCTAATAAGAACTTCCAACTAAGAAAAGCTAAAGAAATGGTTTTAGAAACAAAAGAACAAAGACAAGCAAGGCTTCTTGGCAACAGCATTTTTCTCAGTTGGGCTCTGTTTTGCTACAGAGAAGCAGAGAGTTGTGTGGCTCCTTTAAGAGAGGTTTCCTGACTCAGCATCAGTGGCAAAAAACTGCACCGATTTTAACAAGCTCTGCTAACAATTTATTGGTGTGTATGAGAGCTGTCAATGACAGTGACACATCTCCAAGCCAGGCATAATGATGGATGGCAGCATAGACCAAGGTGGTGAGCACAGCTCTCAGTTCTGGCAGTAAAATAGCTGCTGCCATCTTGGATAGACTGTGGCTGAAACAAGTGTGGCTTTCATTTTAGCAATGTTGTTGTTTACCAGATAAAAGACTCCTGGCTACAAAGAGATAAAGATTTACAGTAAAGACAGATTCATATTAAGGAAAATCTCTAAAGGTTTACAGTGTGTTTTAAAATATATGTAGGCTTGGGAGAGAATAAGAATAAAATGTTTTTAAAAAGACAGAGAGAAGCTACATGTGTTGGCATACGCCTTTAATCCCAGCAATTGGGAGACAGAGGCAAGCAGATCTCTGTGATTGCAAAGTAAACCTGGTAAAAAGATGGAGAGAATCTGGATACTGTATGGTATTATATTGTCTTTGTATTGTTACTAAGGAAATAACAACAACTGTTAAAACAAATGCTGCTGGATCAATCAAATTTATATATTTTAAAAATGCTTTGACTTCAAAATTTAAGTCTCAGGACATTTTATTGGGGAAAACAATTTTTAATTTTATTTCCATAGAAAATGAAAAGCTGTGGATTCCTTTCAGATTAATGTGGTTTGATCAAGCCAGACCGCCTGAAACAGCATTCCAGGTGATACAACTTTCAAAATTGTTGGGACAAGGCAGCCTTGCAGACTACAGCCAGGATTTCTTCATCTTCTTAGGATCCCCCA